CCAATCCCTAACGTTCTGTGATTCTGTAATCTAAGCTCCTTGTTTTCTAGCCTGTGTCATAATTTTAGGAAGGTTGTTTGACCATAAGATGAAAGATGTCTCAGGAGGTTAAGAGTGACCCTAATGGGGCTCTTCCATCTCTTGCTGCTTTGATTTGACTGGGAGTTAGTTCTGCTGCAGGCTGTGCTGAGAAACTGTGTGCATTAAGGATGCAACATTGATTTACAAACCGGGATCAAGATGCCCTGTAAATCCAGGCAGCCCTGGGTTATTTTAATACTAATGAATAACAATTATTCATTAGTATTAATGAACACTAATGAGTATGTCTCTGTTTTGCATTAATGTACAATTTGGATAGATTTCTGATGTAGTCCTATCACCTTCTGCACTTAACTGTAGCTTCTTGCTGTGCCTTGGCATTTCTTTTTAAATTGTAGTTTTAGAGTTCAAGTTCATAAGTGTTAAGTTTGGGTTCACAGTGTAAATTTGCTTTGCTCTATCAAAGACTCAGTGGACCTGCTAAGAATGGAGACGCTGTGAAGGACCTGGCATTCCCTAAAACATAAACCCAATCTGTATAAAAATAGTACAATATAATGCATTTTTTTCCACCTAGGTCTTCACCCAAGGAGGATTTGTACTATGTGGAGGTGATCTTTAAAGGACATGTGATTAACAACCTGACTGGCGTGGAGAAAGAAAACTATACTTTTAAGGTAACCACCAGACAAGGACAGAAGTGATGATAAAGAATTCAAGGTATTGAAGGGATTCAAACTCCAGACTTAATATTGCAGGGCATATGTTGAAATATTATCTTTCATATTGTGTGTCCGATTGCATGACAGGACAAGAAGTTAGGATGCTCCTTCGAGGTACTCGTCAGTCTGGCACTGGGTAGACTGGATGACCTTAGAGGTCTTTCTGAATCAAAAATCCAGGTTTATCTGTCTCTGCACTTAAACCATACAGTCAGATTATTGCAGAGCTGAATCCTCAACCATGTCTGCATGCTTTGGGATGAGGCCTGGTGTGTTCAGAAGTCACAACCCCACCTCTGTGCTAACTATGAATATTGAGCTAGAAAGCCCAGTGTTTTCAGTAAATTGCACATTAAAGCCAAAGAGTCATTGGGTGGTTCAGCTAGCTTAGAGAGTTGATGAAAAATCACCAGGGGATGCTGTTAATGAGGCACATTCCAAGCTAAATAAAACACAATGCATGTCTTTGTTTCAGGACTGGGACCTGGGAGCTATGCGTATTAAAAATTAATTTTGCCTCCGCAGTAGATTGAAAAGGCCCGCTGCAGGCAGCAACAAGTCTGAACAGCTCGGAAGACTTGTACCAGGCAGTGGCTCTAGTTTTTGAGCTGGTTTTGGCTGCTTTTTCTGCATCAGCTCCAGCCCAGGGTGTGGTGTGATGTTGTCTTTGCTTCTCAGAAGTGGCCATCACTGGAGGGAGTTTGTGGCTGCTCATTCATTTTTAACATGGCCATGAGGAGAAGGGAAGGCAAAGACTGAGCTTTGAAAGAGAACAGGGTTCAAGAAAAGCTCAGGAAAAAAAAACCCTAATAGATGCAATAATGTTTTTTATTTGATTCAGCAAATGAGTTTATTGTTTTTATAGGGCTGACATTGGTAAGTGGCATTAGTAAGCACAAGTGAGGACAGGAGAGAGCTCAGAAAGATGGGGAGGATGGAGATAAGTGGAGAAGGCTCTGAGAAATGTGTTATTTGGGCAATGGGCACACATGGGAAATGTACTTCTTCTGTAAGGTTAATGAAATCAAGCAGCTAATGACTTGGATGGAAACAGGATTTAGCCGCCTAGTGGGACTGCAGGCCAGATTTATGGAGGTATTTGTAGCTCCTAAGAAAGCAGAGAGACAAATGGATTTTACAAAGTCTGAACAAGCCAGGTGTCCTTATACATCACTTTAAGCCCAAGACCTCCTAATACCTTGATGGATCTGACCCTTGTTTTTCTCATAAAGATTTTCATTTCCAGAGTGCAAATGCTGCACAAGGGAAAGACGATGACATTGCTCTTAATTTTTCAGAGCAGATATGAGAAATAAAGAAGTGGTTTTGCCAAGGTCTCTTTGTACAATGCAAGGCTGTGCCTGTATTAGCAAGGCAGGGTCAGGGCAGGTCTCCAGCACTGCCTGGGATCACCTGGCTGATGCTCCTTGGTGCAGTTCTTTCTCCCTTGGGTGATGGCATGTCCATTCCCATTAGTGTGGGTCAGGCCACCTTCCTTTTGACATAGAATGATAGTTTCCCTGGGTGCATATAAGCCATGCTGTTCTTTGGGCCAAATAATTTCCAAGTTTACAGAAAATATTGGTATCCTATGAGTTAACAGTGTGTGGAGGACCATGTGTGTTTCTGGCCACTTGACTGATGAGTAGTGCTTCCACACAAAATGTCCTCTGAATAAGACCGTTGTCAGCCTAGGCAAAAAAATTCTAGAGCAGTTTTGGTTTAAAAGTGCCTCAGATTTTAGGGTCAACTATAGAAAAAGGGGCAAAGGGACTGCTCTACTTGTTGACAATGCAGCCAAAGCATGTGTCAGGTCAGGTATCCATGTCTCAGCTACTCTGGGAGGCTGATGATGACATTCCTCCACTTGGAAGGTGTCCATGTGAGTTCCTCAGATTTTGAGAGGCTTGCCTCAAAGCCCTATCTCTTTGCTCCTTCTTGTACTCTGTTAAAGCCAAAAATAGTATCCCACAGCAGATTTCCAGTGTTTTTATGCTCTTTCCTCAGAGGGCAAGGTACTGCCTTCCCAAAGATACCTCTGATGTGTTATACTGCATTAAGATGGGCCAGTACAAGCATTTTCTTTGCTGCACCACTTTAGGGCAACCCAACCAGCTTGCTGAAGGCTAGCTGAGGGATCTCACTGATGTAGTAGTATCTTTAAGAGAATATTATTAGGAAAAAAAATAGTGCCATAGTGCCAGATAGAATGGAGGTTTCTACATCAGCTGAAGCATGGCTTAGAAATTTTACAGTGTATTAAACTATATATTCTGGAATTGACTCAAGCCAGGGTAGAAAATTTGGGCACAAAGAGGACAGAAGAATAGTAATGAAGGCAAGACAGGAACAATGTACTTACTCCCTTCTCAGAGCAGGACTCCCCTTCAAAGATCAAATCTGAAGTGTGTGTTTCTGGAATGTGGTTGCCAACTGTGTTGTGAGCAATGCATAACCAGATCTTGTTGGGCTGCTGCGAAAATGACTGCCATTTAAGTACAAATTTCTCTTTGCAGTTCTCTGCTGCACAGACACCTGTGGTTTACCAAATTAGTCCACCATCTGGCATCCCAGGTATGAGACCTTTCTTTAAGCTGGAGCCCACTTTAATTATTATTTGATGTTCCATACTGTCTTTCTCCTTATGAGGGATTTGTCTTGCTGGGGATTAAAATGAGCACCTCCAGAATTGAATGCCGAAGCTCATGCTGAACAGGAAAACGGGTTTGCGTAAGGGGAGAGAGTCTGCAGCCCCGGGTATGAGAGGAGAGGGTGATGCACAGTGACCAGGTTATTTGATACTTAGCTTTTGCAGCCCAAATCTACCTCAGTAGAGAGATGTTGTTCAGTAGATGGACAGGTCTAATCAGTCTCAGCCCTTAAGTCATCTGACCCTATTTATTTAGTAATAGTTTTAAGAAGAATTAGCTATTAGGTGAATATATTGTAACGCATTACAGACCTTTCGGTTAGTGAGGCTTTAGGTCAGACTTCAATGTTACATGAAAAGACAGTCACTGGTTTTGGTCTGAACTGGGATATGGAAGACTTTTCCCCCTTTTTCTATGCTGTTTGTATTTGCAGGCTTCTATAGAGAAGGTGGAAATGCTTATTCGCAAAGTCAAGGTTAATCAAAACATTTTGAGGTCTCAGGGGTGCAGAGAGTTACCTGTGTGATTAGATCATGTAGATGCTCCTAAATCCAAGTCCATGCCTCATTTCTATTTGTTTTCAGATGCAGTTCAGCTCCAGATTCTCATGCCTTGGTTTAGGTTGTGTATATAGAGGTTTCTAAGTTAGCTGGATGTTTGACCTACCAATTTAGTCAATGAAGAACACAATAGTAACACTAAGTAGTAGGATGTAGAGATGTCCTGGAGCATGAAGGAGCTGCATGGAGCAGGTAGATATGACACAGCACCAGGTAGATATGACACAGGACCAAGAAGACTCCTTTGCTTCTGGAGCCATGGTGGGAAGATAGGGTGCCTCAAATGATTTAAGACACCTGTGTGCAAGCAACTGAACCAAGCAGTCACCCAGTATGGTCAAGGAAGTGTTGGGAGAGATTCAGCTGGTCATATATGTGCTGAGGTACCTCTTTAGACCCTGATCCTGTCTAGTGTACAAATGGTGTAGTTTTGGTTGTCTCATGAGGTTCTACAGTGGAATTTTGTTAGAATACGGAGTTTGGATAGTAAAAGAGTTAAAGCAAATGTCTTCTCAGTACTCATACTAGAGATCTGCTCAAAAATCGGGAATGGACATTTTTGTGGGGAACAAAGACATGCAGTTTGGGAAAAGTAATTGAAGTGCAAAGTCAGCTTGAATTATGGTAAAAGCTGAGAGTAGACACCAGTGCAGCCAGCTGAGCACCTCTCTGCAAAATTTGCAAAGACCAAGAATTTATTTTGCTCACAAAATCTGCAGATACAAATTCTCTGCTTTTAAAAGTATCTCTTCAATTTCTATTCCCATTTAAACAGGAAATTTAATAGAGATCTATGGGAAGACAATTGCTGGAAGATATGAGACCCTGGACTTCAATGTGGATTATATTGATGGGTAACTACATATAAGCATCTATCTGACCCAGTCAACCCCTGTAAACTGGTGTTTCTTCCGTCAGCCTCCTTGACAGCAATAAATTGCAACCAGTTGGCCCAGAATTGCCATTTTCTTCCTTTGTGGTTTATTGCAGCTCATGAGTTGGGCTCCAGCAAACTTTGTTAATCTAATTGCGACTGGTCCATTAAGCTAGTTGGTTTGTTTACTGGCAGCACAGTCAATCACAGCTCAGTGTGAGTTGTACTGTAATTGCGTCTGGTTGCTGTAGATTTTATTTTGGCTAGCAAATTAAAATTTAACTAATTAAAATAATGTCAGAATCTTAAAGTTAAATAAATTTTCCCTTCCATTTGCATTTTTAGAAAAACTATTAGTTTGAAGCAGATGCTCTAGTGAGCCAGAAGACAAAACAGAAGTATTTTGAGACAAAAGGATTTGTTGTTCACTGCTTTAAACCCTCTTTGGTCACTTCCTTGTTCTTCAGGAAGGCTTGATTTTTATTTGCTGCTGCTCCTATGGTTATATGCAACAGAGAAAAGCAGGTAGATTGTAAAAAACTTACTTCAGCAGCACTTTAAGCACAGTGAATCCAAAATGAACATGAACACTGACCTGCCATCTGTCATACATATTTCTATATGTATCAGAGTATTCTCAGATAATACTGAATTATTATTTCCTTGCACTCGTGTCAATGGCAGTGAAGAGGTAAGCCCAGGTGAGCATTTTAAAGATAAACTATTCGTCTATAGTTACTGTGCTGGTATTTAAAGGATCATTTCAGGAGTCAGGGAAGGTGTGTATTGTCAATAGAAATTTTAATTGCAGCAGCAGACATTTGACCACTAGATGGTTTTTACTTCTCAGGCTGTATGAAAATGTCCCTTGCTAAGTAATTAAATTCTCTGCTAGTGTGAACAAGAGTCCAGAGCAGATTCCTGCCATACCAGCTGCACCCATTTATCAGCCTTGCATTTTTGCTTGCTGGATGCACATTAGCATCCTTTGCCGGATGTTAATTATTGTTTTACCTGCCTTTAGTGGAACTGTGAAACCTTTGATCAGTGGGAAGAAAGGCTGCTCTGTCTGACTGCAGGTTGGACGTGCCTGCATGCTCCATTACCAGATCACTCATTTACAGTTTAACCTCGCTATTGCCAGAAAGGAAATGGCCTCAAAATCTTAGCATACCAGACAGGTTCACATCGTAGCTTCACATTGTAGCTTCACGTGAATAATCTGCCCATTTTTGGTGTGTTAGTAAATATGTACCAGGTGAGGACTTGGATTTGACCAGAGCAGTCTGGCACTCAGTCACACTGGCTTAGGATGTTCAGCAAAAATGTACATTTTTATGTTTCCAAGTGTGTCCTGCACCCTTTTCCACGCTTTGTATGGGATGCAAAGGTCGAGGGATGCTGCACCAAATGTGTTCCAGCACCGTTTTGTTTTTTTTCTGTTAATCCTTACAAAGAAAGGCATCTCAATATCAGCAAGCTGTATAGTAAAAGCAAACTCTTAATAAAACCTCATAAAACTACACTCCGAAGCATGGGTCATAGCTAAGTGTTTGCACTACAGGTTTTAATTGCATATTTTCCTTAATTGCTTGTTAATCCTCAAAGAATCATTGCCAACCTTTGCTTATTATTCTAATTACCATGAATATATTGCTTCTACCTGATTCTTTCTCTCCAGTGGAATTTGTCCCTTGCCATATTGGTTCTTTCACGTGTGGATATTTGAACTTGTGATTATGATTTTGGATGGTTTCTAGCAGAGGTTGTTTCTAGTGTTTTTCCTCAATGAAATAAAGAAATGACTGAGCTGTATCTCAAAGCAGTATGGTTGTATGAGCCATTGTAGGTGAAGAGATAAGAGATTAGAGTTTATTCGGTTTTCTAGGAGATTAATAAATGCTAGATACAGGTGAGGGGAAATCCTCGTCTCATTTGAAAATATTGGCTGCTGATTTTAGGAGGATCAGGATTTCATTTGTGAGACTTTGTTGTATTGTGTCTCATTTTCCCTGTTTGTTTTTTTGCCTAGGCCAGCTACCCTTGTGGCAGAAGGAGATGGATGGATCAGTGTCTGCTCTTTTGCTGACAGGAGAGCTAGGATCAGGTCAGTTCTTGACTTACTTTGGGTTTGTGTTGGTGCAAGGACTCGGCATGGCTTGTGCACCAAAAATTTTCTTGACTTTTGAAGAAGCTTTTCTGTCTTGGCTTAAAATGGAGAGGGACCATGTGGAGCAGACCAGATGAACCACATCCATTCAGCTCTTAAGACTCCAGAACAGGGTAGCCATTTCCAAACGGCTTATTGTCCCTGGTCAATGTGATGTCTTCAGTCATATAGGGAAACTAATTTGAAGAGTGGATTAGCTGATTTGGGCTCAAACAGGGCAAGGAAGGTGCTAAAAATTTCATGTAGCAGATAGGCTCCATTGCCTGGGCCCCAGCACTCTTCATTTATTGGTATTAATGTATCCTTGTCTTCTGCAAGATGCAGGAGACCCTTTAGATTGATGGCTCTTGCAGCCTGTTGAATTACAGAAAAAGACATGGACTCTGCAGCAGCATTTCTTTTATGAATGGTGCATTTCTTACAGTGCCTATGAGCCCTGGAAAAGGGAGGCTGCTTTTACAGGAAAAAAAGGGGAAAAAAGCCTGCTCCTGCAGAAGTCAGTGCTAAGGCTCCTGGGCTCCTCAGTGGGCCCTCTCATTGCACTGCAAAATTCCTCCTGGCTCCCAGGAGGGAGATTTGTCTGCAAATATGAGTTGAGGATGGGATTTGCATCATTCTATGGCTCCAGAAGGTTAATGCAATACCACCATATCTGGTTTAATTGCTACCTGTGCCTTCTTACAGATTCAAAGGAGCAAGTACAAGGGAAAACACTTTTGTCCTCCTACTCACCCTCACCATGGGCCCAGACTTGTCTCCTCAGCTTTTATTTCAAGTGGGGCTCTGAAGGTCACCAGCAGGATCAGCTTCTGGACACAAGGGTGAAGGGGCCATGCTGGAACCCTGTGTGCTGTTGGGAGGCATCCTTTTAAGCTACTGAGCTCTTGATCATCAGTGAGGAGATGGGTTGCTCCTCTCCATCTCACCTGTTTCTCTCCCTTGTTTCTAAAGGGAGCTAAGCATGACTAGCTTAGATGTATAAGCCCACATCCTGTCTCGATTAGATGATTCTCACTGTATTTTGCTCTTTTTGTTCCCATGACTCAACAAAGTAATTTGTATCTCCACAGGTACCCAATTGAGGCAGTAGATGGACTGGGGACCCTGCAGTGCCGGGTGGAAGGGAACCACATAGGTTGGTGAAAAAGGGGAAAAATCATGGGTTACCATTATTTCTATAACTCCAGAAGGTAGAGGGAGGTGTCAATCATGAGTTTCTGTTCTGTCTCCAAAGTTAGGAATGTGGCTTAGGGCTAAGTCCACAAACTTGCTTCAGGTCGAGGCTTGCCAGTCTTCAACATAGGCACTGCTGTGGTTTTTGTCCTCTGCACAGCTTTGAAGTAACTGAAGTGCAATGCTCAAGTGAAACCATGGCATGATGTGCACGTTGCTGATGGCAACAATCTGATTTGGAGTTTTTGCTCAGTTTATTACTTTTACTTTATTCTTTCTTATATGTAATGAAGCTTCCCTTTACTGATTTATTGAAGGAATAAATTGGATGCGTCCTTCTATTCACGGTCTCTCTGGTAGCTAGGAGGTTGAATCCCTTTCATTTTGCCTTGCTTCCAAGCACTCTGAAGAACCTTCTGATTTCTTTTGGAGGCTTTGAGCAACAAGCTTCCTGCTTGGGAAAGATGATCTGAGTTAATCATGTAAAACAGAAACTGATATCTAGCTTCTATGTAGACACTGATGGTACAATGCCACAGCCTGAGCTTTTAAGAGCCTTCGTGGAGCCCTTCATGTTTCTGCCATAAAACATATTGCTGTTCTGTCCTCCAGGGTCCCACAATGTTAGCTTCTCAGTGTTTAACAAAGGAAGGTGAGTAAAAGGATCTTTTTCTCTCTTTCTGTGGGTTTGCATGGGGACACAGCTGCATTTGAGTTCAGGATAAATGTATGACATTTTTACTGAACCTTGCTTCATTGTGTAGAATTGAGGTTTTGCTCTCTTGAGAAGACAACCATTAGATTTGAGAATGAAAAGGAGGAATGTTCTTCCTGAAAAACATCTCCACTTCAGAGTTTTAATACTTCAGCTTCAGCACCCAAAGCATAAGTCGTCTGTTAAGCCTAGCTGAATAAAATCTTTCTCAATTTTAACTCCTCATCCAAATAGGAAAGAATATAGCCATAAAAGGAGGTCAAAATGGGTTTTGACAGTGTCAAAACCATGCTTTACAATGGGACCATATTTCTAATAAAGAGTTTCTGCTATATACATACATTCTTTTGAATCAGGGTCTTGATATGCTGGTGAAAGGTGTGGTTCACCCTTGTAGAAATGTTCCACTGTTCCTCCTGAGAGCTCTACCAAAAGAAGGTCTAATTCAGCTTAAATGGCCACGGATCTCTCAGGAATTTTTCTTTCTTGCAGGTCAGCTGTACACAAAGGTGCTTGGCTCATCAGTGCCAAACAGGAGCTTTTCTTGTATCAAATGTATTCAGGTATTGCACCGATCCACTTCAACAGCTGTACTGTCTTTTAGCAGTCTCAGTGTGGTCTATGAAAAGATCTCTCACTGTTGCTGTTCCCAGGGATGTAATCCTGTTGTGTCATCATTTTGGATGTGCTGCTTACCTGGTATGGGCTTGACTACACAAAACTGCAGATGCAAAATTTCAGGAAGACCAGATTGATATGTTAAGGCTGGGTGTGATGCCATGGGCTGTACCCTACATCTCCAGTGAGTTAGTGTTCCTCTCAGACAGGGGTAACTTTGAACTCGATTTCGGACAGGGTAACCTAAGACAGAACAGCAGTACGGTAGGGTTTGGGAAGATGTTTTAACATTGCTCCTTTTCCTGTCAGATCAGCAGTAGACTTGAGATGTTGTATGCCCCGTTATATCCAACTGTGTGGTAAGGTTGAGATTTTAAAAATGCAGACCTTAGCATGAGATAGATCCCACATCATCTACAAGGAGGAGATGGTGTTCAACCATTCCAAGAATTGAGTTTTGGATAAATCATTGATAGTAGGTTACTGCACCATTTTTTTAAGGTACATTAACAATAATAACCTCCATGTGACATTTTTCAGTTATATTGTAGAGAGCAGACAATGAAATCCTGAGCACTTGGTCATGGGCTAATAGTGTCCAAGATTCAACATGGCCCAACAGCCAAAGTAGAAGTAGGGGACAAGGGACTGCAGAGCTCTG